GTTGATTCACCTCCTCATTTACTAACTTTGTAACCGGAAATGTCCGAAGCTAGTTCAAATAAATCACATCACGCAGATTCTGCGATTGTTGAGAAGGAGGAGACTGACGACAGTCGCTCCTTCCTTACCACCAATCTCCTTCTAGATATAAGGAGAAAGAGCAAACCAATAAGGCTGGCAGAATCATCCTGGGCCTCCGCCCGCTTCCCCACCCATCCGGTTATCGCGGAATATTCCTTAGCTTTGGTTGGTTGTTGTTTTTGCAGCTCACTGTGTCACTAAATTGTGCACTCTAGTGAATTCAGTAGTTTTAATGCAAACTGTGCGCATGGCACCCTGAGACAGTCCACATTGTCTTCACGTGTAAACTCAACGAAAAATCATAACTGCAGGACGATCCATTGTCTCATCTTCTGGCTGATCTGGAGGCGCTGTTGCTGGACGAATCATCAAGCCGAGGACGAATACTGGTGGTGGAAAGAGTCATTGAAATGTTGCGGGGGATCAAAACTGTGGTTAGTCAGCGATATTTTCCCCGCAACTCCTGACAAATCCAGTTTTTCAGGACGAAGCTGAAGCAGCTCTTCGAACTCTACGAATGGAATTCCCTCGGAAAGGTTTGTTACGAAAGATTTCTGAACAAAGAACTCAAAAAATCAAACTGTGGTTCGACATCTCTCCAACAACTTATTCGAGTTCCAGGTCTCTCTCCGCCATCGACTTCCAAAGCATCTAGTCCTATACCGTCTCCATCACCCAGAGCTCCGCCAGCACCGCCTGCAGCTCCTCCGCCTCCTAGCGCTTTCAAATTTCCTGATGCTCACAGACCGGGAGTAAGCAAAGCTTTTCCAACTGCTCCACCGGCACCACCACCGCCACCGCCTTCGCAAGTTTTACGTGACGCAGGACTTCCCGCTGGATTACCACATCCAGGAAAAGGTACTATCTCACTCAATTCTGAAACTGAGTTTGTCCCATTCATGCAGCGCTTCTTGAGGACCGCCCATACTTCCTCCACCACCTACACTCGGTCTGGTTCCACAAAAGCCGATTCCTGAGGAATTGCCTGAATCGATGAAACCAAAGCGAGCGCCCAGTGAGACCTTGAAAATGAAGACTATAATGGTTGGTAGGAGGTCTTAATTTGTCTTAAAATCTGAAATTCTGACATTAATGACAATTTGCAGTGGTCAAAAATCACCCCATCGGCGGTCGTCCATGGGCAAGGATCAGAAAGCATTTGGGGAGAGTTGGCCAGGGAGAGCACAAGTGAGTCCTTGAGCATGTTACCTAAGTAGTTCGTGGACAACCCTTCCCACATTCCAGAGCTATCCCTGGATTTCGATATGATCGATGGAATGTTCGCCATTACACCAGCTCAGAGCTCACCGGCAATGATTGAGTCAGCCCATACACAGGTGTCCTTTATTGTTTTCATGCCTTTAGGAGCTTTCGAGCTTTAACCTTCTCAATGAGTATTCTCCTCATATGCCGCTCACCGTCGAGGCGCGCGACGGTGAGCGGCAT